CCCCGGCACACCGGGGAAGCGTCCCCAGAGGGAGACGTGAGGGGAGGGGCGGGGGTCCCCCTTCCGGCCCCACGCTTGGACAGAGGGACTCCGAGGCCCCCCGCCCGGGCCAGGCCGGCCGAGCGCGGACGCCGCAGGCCTCAGTACCTCTCCTTGGGCAGCCTGAAGCGGGGCTGCCTGTGGCAGTGTCTGCAGAGGTTGAAGAGACGCTGGACGATCCGACGGGTTTTCTTGAGGAGCAGCTTCAGGCTGGCGCCCAGCTGCTGGTAGCGATGCTGCACGTCGAGGTCCATGGCCCAGTACTGGGAGATGGTCGTCACGTTCACAAAGCGGTCCTCCGGGAGCCTCCTCACCAGCGCCTGGAGCTCCTCTGGGGGCAGAAGGGGAGGTCAGCCTGGCGGAGAAGAGCTGTCCCATGGTCACCGTCCGGTGCCTCTCCCGGCCAAAGTACCCCAGGGGTTCCCTGCAAGCTCAGGTGGGCCAGGGGGTCCTTCCCCCAGGCACCAGCCCGTCCTGCCCCCATCACCTCAGCTCTGCAGGAGGCCTCTGATAGCTGACAAGTTGCTTGAATTACACAAAAATAACTTAGCCCCGTAGCTCCCGCGAAGGCTGCGCACAAAAAATTCTTCCCCCGCCCACCTGCTCTGGAGAGCCACGCCGGCAGGCGAGGGAGCCGCTGGGGCTGCTGGGACCTGCTGCCTGCTCCGGTGGTCAGGACCTGCTGTGGCAGCTGGAGCCAGGAACAGGAGGCAGGGGAGGAGGGGTGTTTCTTCTCCGGCAGCTGGGATTGGGATATGCCGCATGGCCGGGGTGGGCGGGGTCTGCTCCGGCGGCCAGGAGCATGTGAGTGTTAATAAATTGGGTGCTACGGTGTCACACATCCAAACCAGCACACATGACCTCACTATTGGTGCACAAGCCAAAATGCACTCTGCTCCTGGTTGGAAGCTCTTAGCGGGAACACCGCTTAGCACCCTACAAATCACCCTCACAAACCTGGGGAAACTGAGGCAGGGGGTGACAGGACTTGCCCTGAGCTACGGAGGCGGGATTGGAACTCAGAAAACATCCTAGATAGCATTTCCCTCGTTGTTCTGTAAGATCTTTGGGGCAGCGCTCACCTAGCAATTTCCATCGCTACCCCCTTGCTACAGCTGGGGAAACTGAGGCAGGGGCTGGGAATAGACCCCAACTGCCAGGCCAGGACTTGATCCATTAGGCCACACTGCCTGGTTAGACTAACAGTGAGGACTCATTCATGTCTAACTTCCATTGACAGCCCCTGCCCATCCGATGGGAAATGCCACGAGTTTATTTAAGGCCGTTTTATGTGTTATTTGTCTTTTCATGAACACCGTGGGCCCGTGTGTGGCACATACCCAGAGTCAGAGACAGTCCACCTGCCTGGAGAGCTGGCAATCTAACTCAGGGACAGGCAATCATTTTTGCAGGGGGACCACTCCAAGAATTTTAATAAGTGATCACAGGCTGCACTAATCAATTATATTAATGGGGGGGAGCAGTTTGGGTGCAGGAGGGGTTCTGACCTGGGGGGGGCAGGGGTGTGGGGAGGGTGCAGGGTCTGGGAATTTTGGTGCTGGAGGGGTTCTGGTCT